TTAACTCTATCAAAATGAAGACTCTTCAAAGCTCTTCAAAACACCGCTAAGCAAATGAAAAGACAAGCCATAGAGAGAAACTATTTCCGCCAGCTTACCCGCCCCCTGAGGGCACCGCGCCAGCCCCCCAGCATCAGGCTCACCTGGAGACGGGCGTCCGGCTTCTTGGGCAGCAGATGTCGCCCCCAGGCCACGCCGCGGGGAGGAGCGGAGCAAACTGCCGGCTCCCGGGCGGCGGGCCCCCTACCCACGTTGCCCCCGCACCCTAATTGCACAGCCCTGCTCCCCTCCTCAGCAAGCTGAGTGGGACAGGTGTGTCAGGCGACCTGGGGTAGCAGAGGCCGCTCCCAGGCCCGGCCCCCGGGGAGAAGGGAGCTAACCCACCAGCTCGCCAGGAGCAGTGCTACTCCCCTCCTCCGCCGCTGCCTCCGCCGCTGCGGCCGCCCCTGACCGAACCGCCCCGCCTCCCAGGAGCAAGCTCACCTGGAGTCCGACTTCCGGGGAATCTCCTGCGGCCAAGGCCGCCTCCAGGCCAGGCTGCTGGGAAGAGAAGGAAACAACCGGCTTGCCTGGGCAGCCCCCTCCCGCCGCCGCCACCCGAAACGCACCACACCCGCCTCCAGGGGTCAGGCTGACTGCGAGGATGTGCACCAGCCTTCTGATTCTGGCCACGAGCCTGAGCACCTCCCTCCACCTCTACACTCCTGCAACCCCCGCACCCCCCGCACTGCATGCACTCTTGAACCTCTGCACTCCCTGCACCTGCACTCCCTGCCCCTGAACTGCCTGCACCCTCCACAGCCCGTGCACCCCTGGCACAACTTTCACCTTGCACCACCTGCACCCCTGCACCCCTGCATGTCCCACACATCACCTCTTGGGCCTGTGGCAGAGCCTCTGCTGTTTCACCAGCATGCAGGGACTCATAACCTTGCCAGTATATGATGCCTCAGTGGACCTCTGAGGTTGCCTGCCAGAAAGTATATGTTCTCTGCCACTAGGCTAGGCCACTAGGGTGATCTCTGTGACGTCGCCCAGGATGGGCTCAGAGATGCTGTTCTCTGGGAAGAGAGGAGTTGAAACCGGTCTTGAGGGCAGAGCTGTGCTCACCAGGCCGTCCACGCTTCATGTTTTACACAGGACTTCACTGAATTGAAATGGACCCGGCCAAGTAAGGCCTGCTGTGCGCCCACCTCAGTCCTGGGCTCTGAGGCAGACTGACTGGCTCCCACCCTCAGGGCCCAGTTTCGGTACCTGAATGGTCCCTTGGAGGCATCCCATCAGTTCTCAGGAAGAAGTCTGGCTGCTTCCACCCCATGGCCCTCCCTCCCACTGTGCTGGCCTCAGGAAGGTTCCTTATTTGGGGAAGAAGACAGCCCACCCCCAACCCCACCCCTCAGCTTTCTCTAACCCAGGCTGGTGCTTTCTCTGCCCCTCAGAGTCTGGAAAGCCATCCCTCTTCAGTTATGTCTCTTCTGAGATGGACTTGCTTCCATTAAATACTAGGCGAGGATGCAACGTGGGATGCCCTGGGTAAGAGAACCAAAATAGTTTCTTCTGTGAGATTTTCTGTTTATCTACTGGGGCTGGGCTGTGTGTAGTTTGATACAGCTATTGGTGTGAGAGGCTAAAGCCGCCTGTGTGTCCTTGTTTTCATCTCCCCGATGTCTTTGGGTTTTCCCTAGACACTCCTGAGATATTTACTTCTTTTAGTTTTATTCCTGTTATTACACAGGGGCCCTACTGTCATGGAGGTAAGGTGTTGGGGGAGCGGGACAGAGTAG